ACCAAATCTTAGATTGTCTGATTCGGTCTGATATCCTACAGTGTGGTCTGATGCCAGATGTTCTGTAAATGTAGTTGCTAGAATGTGCTCTTCAGTGGTTTCAAGTTGTTTGTGTCCAACGTGTTATAGTAGGGACTGTCAAAAGGAGAATAAATAATGTTAGGATAATGTTTCCCTATAGCCTCAGGTCCTTAGTGATTCAATCCAAAACATGACACACTTTTTCTGGGCCTAGTTCACACACTAAGCCACAAAAGCCACGCATACTAGTTTTTGACTTGTTATTAAAGCATCTCGGAGCAGACTTTTTTCTCAGGCTATAAAAATGTTAAGTCTGTCTTTCTTTTAATGTTTTTCTATGTCCAGCTTGGTCAAACCACTGCCGTAAATGGTAACAAAATAAGTATTTATGGCACTCTGCTCCATGCCAAGTTACTACGACTTGATGGTTTTGGAAATTTGGGACTTTATTGCAGTGTGAAATCAGAGAGCAATTTTTACTCCATGACAAATGTATATTTTCAGTTTGAAGAAAGAGCAAAGACGACAACAAGCTCAAATCAAGAATGAAGCATAAACGTGTGGAAACTGATGGTTAGTGTGCCAGTCATGTGCTTGGAAGACTTCTCCAGTGTCCTTGAGTGTGACTCTGGTTTGTTTGGGTTGGCCCTCAGGTTTGTGTGCGCCCAGCTGCCCAACCCTGTTCTGGAGAGCATCAGTGTGATTGACACCCCAGGAATCCTGAGCGGAGAGAAACAAAGGATCAGCAGAGGTAACTGACTTCCAAAATGCATCAACATGCATGTGCACAGATGAAGAATATCCTATGAATCAGGAACTAGTGATATTTATGCAATACCGTTCAAATGTTTGGACTGTTTATAAAATAAGTCTCTTATGCTCATCAAGGCTACATTTATTTGATCGAAAATATAGTTAGTAAATAACTATTTGAATAACTTTTCTATTTTAATTTAAAATTTAATTTATTTCTCTGATGGCAAAGCTAAATTTTCAGCATCAATTACTTCAGTCTTCAGTGTCACATGATCCTTCAGAAATCATTCTAATATGATGATTTTATGCTCAAGAAATGTATTATCGGTGTTGAAATTGATGTCGTTTCATATTTTTGTGGACACCCTGATACATTTTTTTCAAGATACTTTGATAAATAGAAAGTTCAAAAGAACAGCATTTATTTTTAACATAATATTTTTTTTAGTCAATTCAAAAGACTTTTGATCAAGACATTTTGTCCTTACTGAATAAAAGTAAAACTTACTGACCCCAAAATTTCTCCTTGGCTTTCCCACATCTTAGATGTAATTAATTAGGATTTGCCAAACCTTTATATTAATATACATGTTCTCCCTATTTTGGTTTTGTATTTAATTTGTAATATTTTGAAGGAAGTAATCAAATATTAAAAGTTTGGAGGTTTTAAGTGACTCATTGTACATTTTAGTATAACTAGGTTTAATGGTTTTTAATGTAGTAGTTGGTTATACCAATCACAGAATATTTTCAAAGTACAACAGCATAACAAGATCATGTGATCTCAAATTTCAAATTTGAATACAAGTTCTTGTTCCCTGTGGCATCAACTGAAAAAGAATTTCCATAGGAAACTAACCACCAAAGAGTTCACTTGATCGCTATGTTGAAAAAAAAAAGCGATTATAATTTTTTCATGATGTCTTCGTGATTTTATAATGAAAAGCAACACTGTGTGTTGGTGTATTGTGTAACTGAAGTTTCAATCTGTTTTTAATTGTGATGTGTTGAAAGACAAGAGGCGAGGCTTTATCAAGATGAAGGATGTTGTTATGGCTCGTAAGCTGTAAGAACAGATACAAAGAGTTTGCATTTGCACTAAATTATATCTATAGTGTTACATTTTCTTCAGCCACAACTGTATTTGTATCAAAGGATGGTGGATGTGTGCTTCTTTTTGTTCTCTGGTTTGCTACTTGTAGTAATGGATATTCAAGGCAGATATTTTGTAACTTATTTGGTTACAAAATATAAATAAGCCTATGCATAATTTTTCCACCTGCCATTACATTTCATGCATGATTGGGCATTCTATTCTTTCATTAAAAAAATGTTGTGACATAATTTCAGTGATACAAAAGTTAATGTACAGATGCCCTTGTAACAGTAAGCTTGTTTAGCTCATGGTTACTTCATCACTCATTCAGAAAAGTCCATTGCAGCTGAGCGGCCCATAGTATTACCGCTGGGCTTCCTGGCATCAGCACTTTTCATTTTACCCGGACAATTTCCTCCCGCTGCACTCAGTCTCACAGACCAGATTGATATGGCCCGAGGATTAGACACTCATGTTTCTGAGGCCAGAGCCAAGAGCCAGGCTTTCAGATGTGATTTCAGAGGACAAATATTTAGTAGCTCTTGTTTGTGCTGAAAGCAGTAAATGTAGGTTTAACCCTCTGGTGCTCCTTATTTGGGAGTCACTCTTGTGGTCTTCACGGTCAAAAGTGACCGGACACCTAAAATGTTACTCCCCTAATATTTATTCTTTTTTTCTTTTGTATTTTGAGAGAATTTCATGGTACTGATTAATATTTATGCAATAATTATGATCAATTTTTCCCATTGAAAATAATACACAAATTATTTTTTCTATTACTTTTCAATTATGGCAGTATTTCATGTTAAAATCAATACATTTATTAAGCCAGATTAGTGCCATCTGGTGGGAGTAAAAAAACATATTCCATGGTTTAACTTTAGCCCATGGATTCCCATATAGCTCTATATAAAAGGCCTATAAATTCTCTAATTGTTTTTAGACAATACTTATTTTTATTAAGTTGTGGGTTTGGATATATATTTAGACATTTTCAAAGACAACTTTTTGTAAACTTTTTAGATTTTTTGTTTTGTTTTGAAATGTTGATTTGAAGCGTCAGTTTTTGAATTATTATTACTACAGTCAAATTTGAACAGAGAAAGCATTTTGTCACACAAAACATTACAATTCTTTAAAAATATAACAAAAATGAACAGGAATGTTTTATCAGAGCTTAATCTTTCTGGGTCTGATCTGATTTCAACCTCTTATTTCAGTTTTCTGACTCGTTATGGCTATATGGTTATAGCCATACCAATTCATTTGAATGTGTATAATTGTGTATGTGTGTGTTTGTCTGTGTGTTTGTGTGTGTGTGTGTGTGTGTAAATGTGTGAGCGTGTGTGTGTGTGTGTGTGTGTAAATGTGTGAGCGTGTGTGTGTGTGTGTGTGTGTAAATGTGTGAGCGTGTGTGTGTGTGTGTGTGTGAGTGGATGTGTCTGTTTTGCACTCTTGATGTTTTAGAGTGCCCGTTCCTTGCTGTCCACTTTTTTACTGCATTGTAGTTGAATTATTGCTTTTATTTTACTTATCTACTGTGTTACAGTCACACCAGTTCATAGGTGTGTGTGTGTGTGTGTGTGTAAATGTGTGAGCGTGTGTGTGTGTGTGTGTGTGTGTGTGTGTGTGTGAATGGGTGTGTTGGTTTT